GTAGTAGTAGTAGTAGTCGTAGTAGTAGTAGTAGTAGTAGTAGTAGTAGTAGTAGTAGTAGTAGTAGTAGTAGTAGTAGTAGTAGTAGTAGTAGTAGTAGTAGTAGCATTATTATTATTATTACTACTATTATTATTAGTATCATTATTACTATCATCATTATTATTATTATTTTTAGTCGTAGTAGTAGTAGTAGTAGTAGGAGGAGGAGGAGGAGGAAAGGAGGAGGAAAAGGATGAGGAAAGAGGAGGAAAGAAAGGAGGAGGGGAGGAGGAGGAGGTAGGAGGAGGAGGAGGAGGAGGAGGAAGGGAGGAGGAGAGAGGAGGAGGAGGAGGCGCAGGAGGAGGAGGAGGCGGAGGAGGAGGAGGGAGGAGGTGGGAGGAGAGAAAAGGGAGGAGAGGAAGAATAGGAGAGGAGGAAGGGAGGAGGAAGGGAGGAGGAGGAAGGAAGGGGGGAGGAGGAGGAGGGGAGGAGAGAGGAGGAGGAAGGAGGGAGGAGGAGAGGAGGAGAGGGAGGAGGGGAGGAAGGAGGGGGGAGGAGCAGAGGAGGATGAGAAGAGGAGGAGGAGGAGGAGGAGGGAGAGGAGGAGGAGGAGGAGGAGGAGGAGGAGGAGGTGGGGGAAGGGAGGAGCCGGCACCTGGCTCGCGGAGCGGAACTCGCTGATCACTGCGCGCGCCTCCGCGCGGCTCGCCTCCGCCTCGACCGCCTGCAGCCTCCGCCCCGACCGCCGCCGCGGCCGCCTCCTGTTTGGACGCCCGAAAGGGGTATGGAAAACATGGGCACAATGCCCAACAACAAATGGTGTCCCAAACCAACAGCGGCCGCTGTTGGGCAGGCGGCCTTCTGTCTCAAGTGGACACAGGCAGCGGCGGCGCGGACAGCAAGTCCTGTCCAAAACGAACAAGAACTGCCGTTGGGCATTGCACCCATTCTTTCCGTACCCATTTCGTTCGCGCCGATCCTGGCTGGGCCGGCGCTGCAGTCGGAGCTGCAGTCGGAGCTGTCGTCCTCGTCCTCCTCGTCGACTGGCGGCCTGCGGTGCCGCCGACGCCGCTCGGGCGACCCCGCGGCGGCCGGCGGCCGGGCGGCGGCGGCAGGCGCTGCCGGCGGGGCCTCGGCGGCCCTCGCCGCGCCGCCAAGGCCGGCGGGCTCCGCGGCGGAGGCAGCTGGCGCGGTCGGCTCCGCCTCCGCGCCAGGCCCTCGCAGCCCAGGAGCCAGCGCCTCGCGCAGGATCCTCTCCAGCGCCGCCGGCAGCGCGCCGCGCAGCGCGTCCTCCCAGGCCTGGGCCCCCTCGGCGCGCGGCGCCACGGGCCCGGGAGCCTCTGCCTGCGCCGACGCCGCAGCGGTGGCATCCCCCGCAGGGGTCGCCGCCTGCGCGGGCGCGGTGGGTCCCGGGGCCTGCGCGGCGGCGAAGGGCTGCGGCTGCGGCTGCGGCTGCGGCGGCTGCGGCATTGGCTGCATTGGCTGGTGCAGCTGCCGCGGGGGCACCGCGGGGGCCACCGCCACCTGCTGCACGACCTGCACCGCGCGCGCGTACTGGGGTGCGCTCTGCCACCAGACTGGCGCCGCAGCGTGCCAGGCCTGGGAGGCGACGCGCATCCCCGGGAAAAGGTTGTGGAGGGACCAGGGAGGAGGGAGGCAGGTGAGGCATGAGGGAAGGAAGGAAGGAGGGAAGGGAGGGATGGAGGGAGGAAGGAGGAGCACTCGGAACTCGGAACTCGGATATCCTCGAAAGTCCGCCAGGGGAGGCTCTGCTGGGGCGTGCAGGTTACAACTCAGCCTGCAGACCAAGATGGAGAAGAAGGAGCCAGGAGGAGCGAGGAGCTAGTAGAAGAAGGAGAAGGCCGAGGAGGAGGAGCCAGGAGGAGCGGTGATGAGCTAGGAGGAGCGATGAGGAGGAGGAGTCGGGAGAGGAGGTGGAGGAGGACGAGGAGGAGGTGGAGGAGGAGGTGGTGGAGGAGGAGGTGGTGGAGGAGGAGGTGGTGGAGGAGGAGGGGGAGGAGGAAGGATCCTCGGAACGGCCACTTCACCCGCGGACGCAGGAAGCGGCCAGACGCCCCCCCCCCAACAAAAAAGAGAAAAGAAAGCGCTGAGCCCCCGTCTTCGGGGACCGAGGGCCGAAGCAGAGAGGCGCGCTCGGCCCGAAGGGCCGCGCGCACCTGCGGGTGCGGCGCGGCGCACGCCGCGGGGTGCACCGCGTGGTGGGGCAGCGCTCTGTGCACCACCGCCTGCGGCGCTGCGCGCGCCCCCGGCGCGGGCACCGCGTGCCCCACCGCCTGCGGCACGGCGCGAGCCGCCGCGGGCCCCTGCGAGCGGGGGCGGGGTGCGGGGCAGAGGAGGGGGGCACATAGGGGGGCAGAGCGCTGGGAGAGGACGACGAGGGGGAGGAGGAGCCGGAGGAGGGGCAGGAGCAGGAGGGAGAGGAGCAGCAGGAGCAGGCGGGGCAGGAGCAGGAGGGCGACGGCGACGGCGAGGAGGAGGAGGAGCCGCCTGGGCGGCAGCGGCGCCCCACGCGTGCGGCGCGCCCTGGACCTGCCCGGCGCCCGGAGGGCCGTTGGGGCCGAGAGGCTCGCGGGGGGGTCCCGTGGCCTGGACCCTGTCATGAAGTTTCGCCGTTTCGCGACGGCGGCGAGAGCAGCGGCGGCGGCAAAGACGACAACACCAGCAACGACAACGGTAACGAAGACGTTGACGGCGCGGCACGACGCGGCACGGCAAGACAACGACAACGACACCGGTGACGACGACGATGTCGGCGGCGACCACGACGGCGATGACGACGACGATCGAGGTTGGAGGTTCCATGGACGTTCGTGGCCTCTGTTTGGGCCTTTGGAGTCCAGAGACCTTTTGGGATCCCAAGGGATCGCGGGGTACCTCCGAAGCCTTCCAGAGACCTCCGGAGAGGGAGTGATGGGAGACCGACGCGGAGGCCACGCGCTGGGTACTATTCTACACAGGCGGCCGAGCGCGCGGGTCGACTCGTCCGTGGGCCGTCCCTGGGCCCAGGGGCCGTCAGGCAAAGAGCCAGGATGAAAAGCTGCTCTCCAAGACGGGGTCGGGAAACCTGACAGCGAAGTTGGGGGTTGAGGGTCGTGGGGCCGAGCGTTCTACCATCGGCTCGTACGGTTGGTACTGAGCTTGCGCTAGCTTTATGCCATTGCGAAGACCACAGCGCCTTGGCCACGCACCGGCAAGCGCGCTCGCGCACCCCGCACGCGCGACCCGCGAGCTGGGGAACCTGGACACCCTGCACGGAACAGCTCACAGCGTCGGAACTCGGAGTGGTGGTGCTCGCTGCAGGTCGGGCGCGGATCTGGGGCGAAAAACGCAAGGATACCCCCAACGTTGAGCAGGGACCAACCGTCCCGGCATTCTTATAGTCCCACCACGAAATGTTCTTAGAACCCCAAAATGTTCTAATCACAGAAACAATGTTCTTAGAACATAGACCCGACGCGATAAAACACGACAGACTCCGCCAGAAATGTTCTAAGAACATCTCGTGGAAACCACAACAAGGTCCTTAGGACATTGTTTGGCAGGGCTATAGGCGAGCCAGGACGCTTCGCCGCTGCTTGACAACGAAACTACTCGACCATGCCTCCTGCGGAGGGACGGGCCCGACTTGACGCTCGGTCGAGGCCGCCCGGAGCCTGGGCCGCCGCCCTCTGCGCGCCGTGCTCGCCCGGTCACCGTGGGCACCCCTCGCGCGGCCGCCCCGCGGCGAGGCCGTGGCCCGGGCCGCGGGGCGCGCGGCGATCCTCTCGCGCCCCCGGCGCGTGGCCTGCCGGCCTGTGCGCTGCTGGCAGGCCTCGCCGCAGGTCGGGCGGGTCCCTGCTCGGGTGGGGGCTCGACTACAGAGCTGATGAACTCCGAGCCTGACTTTCCCCATCTGATCGACGACGAGGACGTCGAATGTTCGTACACAACTTTTTGGAGCTCTGATTCTGCGCCGTAATTGCGACGAGCGAATCAAGGTTGGGGTAAACCAATTCCGTAATCGATCCCCTACTCGACCTGTGCAGGCGGATTTTGGAGGAAGAACAGAAAATAGTCAAGAAATGCCCCCAAATGGTCAAACATAGTCAAACATCGTCCCCAGATTATTTTTTGACTATTTCCGAATATTCCTCCTGTAGAGGCACAGGCCCGACTTAAGCCTTGTCCTCTGGGCACTCTTACCACGTTCTTCAGCAGGGCGGCGTTGGGAAACCAGGCTCTGGACATGATGGCCTCGAGCGGTAACTTCGTGCCGTTCGATGCTTGAGCACACAAGGCGCAGCAACCCACCAGAGCTTACACCACTGCGCACGATGGGCTCCAAGGACAACCCCACGCCATTTTGCTGGTTTCACCAGACTTTGACACCCTGCTGGGCACGCCTCTGGATGCCTGTTGCTCTATACTATCTTGCATGATTATGTGACCAATGCCCCTCCTCCATCCCTCTCCCTGACAAGTACGTCTTCCTCATCGCACCACCAGACGTGTCGATGGGGCGTAGGGTGGTTTTCGAATCAATGCCGCAAGCATCCGACTGCAATGTTTAATCTATCACGCGGATAGAGGACAACATATTTTCAAAGTAGGGCTGTCCCTTACCGCGCGCACTCGTCTTACACGTTCACAACAACTTTACGGTTCCTTTCCAAAGGTGGGCTCCCGCAGTAGCGCCGCGTACTTTTGTCTTCAAAAAAAAGTAGGCAAAAGTTGCATGGATGGAGGGCGATTTCTTTCTAAGGTGTGGCTTTTGCTTGAGACGTCAGCGACACATGCGGCCATTAATTCAACCTGTGCAACGCTTTCACACATGGCTGATTTCGGAAACCCTGAACCCAAAAACGTTGTCATCTCTTGGGGACGCCTTTTTCACTTCCGCCGCCTTCCGCCGAGCTTCCGCCGAGCTTCCGCTGGCAGAGGCGGCCTCGTCTTACTTCCGCCGACCTTCCGCCGCCTGCCCCGGCGGAAGAGATGACAACTCTTTCGATCCTCGAAGGCAAGGCCTTTTCTGGAACGCCTCACATGGAACACTACTCCTTTTCAGAACGAGGAGGAGGAGGAGGAGGAGGAGGAGGAGGAGGAGGAGGAGGAGGAGGAGCACCCCATCATATTCTTTAACGCGACGTTTGGCCGCCACCGCGTCGTGAGGAGCTAAGTTCAAGCCGGGCCTGCCCCCCCACAGGCGGATTCTGGAGGGGGAGAAATTCTCCAAACATAATCCCTGAATGATCAAAAATAATCGAACATCGTCCCCAGACTATTTCGTCCCTATTTTGGAATGTCTCTCCTGTAGAGGGACATGCCCGACTTGAGCTAAAGTGGAGCTCCCTCATGTCCCTTCGAGTTCTCCGCGTTGAGGGTTTGTTAGTGGGACTCCCATATTTCTCGCGCGCTCTTGCGCGCTCCCAGAAGTGGCCCCGTGATTTGCTTCAGGCCTCGGGCGCGTGGTTGTGCGCCCAACATACCTTCAGACGGCCCGAGTGGACGTCCTGGAGCCTTCTTGGGTACCTCTTGGGCTCTTGGGCCGCCTTGCAGGCCCCAGGGGGCGGTCCCAGATGTCAGTACGGCGCGCCCTCGCCGCATAGCTGGCCCGCCAACAACCCAAGCCGCTGTCACGGCACCTGATGAGGGACACGTTTTCTGTCGCGGCGCGGCAAAAGCGATCCGCTCGCGCGTCCAAGCAACCTGGGCTACGGCCTTGCGAGATGTCCCGCATGCAAGAGGAGGAGAGAAAGAACCTGATGTGGGATACCCTACCTCCGTCGGGCGCCGGCCCTGACCCGGAGCCCGGCACTGCCGCCTCAGGCCTGGGCCCCACGTCCGAAAAGTCCAGCCCTCCCGCTGGCAGGCCTGCGGTGTCCCCTTCCTGAAGGGTGGGGTGGGCGGACCAGACAAACGAGCCCGACCGCCCTAAAGGCCCACCGCAAGCTGAGGCACCGCGGCACTCCCCGGCACCTTTCGGAACCATCGCCCATAAAGCCAGGGGGGCACCGTCTCCTGCGCGGCCGACCTCCACGGGCTCCTCCCATACAGAAGTCGTTCGCGCACCCGTGTGGCGCTGGCGCCCCGGATCTTGACAGTCGCCCGATCGACCTCCACCACCCACGCGCGCGCGCCGCCCGTCGAAGTCCCGTGAGCGCCTCGGCCCAAGACGGGGGGGCAGCAACGGCAAGCCGGCTGCACCTGGCCTGTCTGCCACTGGGCGGCGCCCCTCGCGCGAGGCTTCCGCGCCGAGCTCCTACGCCCCTGGCTCCTCAGCCCTCCCCGCCTGCCAGCGGGGGGTGGCGCCCGCCATTATTCGGCTCCACCAACCAGATGCTCAACCCGATCAACCACACGCTAGCCAGGGGCTGCGTATCGACCCCCCCGCGCCTCGGAAGCCCACGCATGGGGGCCCCGATCGACGCTCGCCAAGCCTCCGCCGCGCCCGGCCCGTTTCGCACATGCCCGCGGTCCGCGCAGGCCTCGTCTGGCGACGCCCCCCCCGACCAGGGCCTTCAGAAGTCAGAAGCGTGGCGCCTCACGGGACCTTCCACGTCCCACCCGCCCTCGCCCGCGCCCGTTCAAGGGGTGAGGAAGTGCCGCGCTCACGCCTGATGACCACGAAGGGGCTGCCTCCCCCTGCGTCGCAGACTGCTTCATGTTCCACTTGCGCTCCCAGCGAGGCGCGCCCCACCCCGTGTCGCTCGCCACGGCCGCGATCCGTCCAGCTGCGCACGTGCATCGGCGGGTGGCTCCCTCTGCCGCCCCACGCGATGCGCTGGCTGCCCTGGGGTGGGAGGGGATCCCCCGCCCTTGACCAGCACTGACCCGTGCCGCGCAGGAGCTCCTCCGCCAGGTGCGCACTCTTTGCGCCCCCCTGCGGTGGCCTCCGAACCCCGTCCATCGCACACCCGACCCGGCCCGAAGAGGCCCCAACCTACCGGTGGGACGCGGGCCCGCCCCCGGGGCCTGCACCCCTGCTGCTGCTGCTGCTGCTGCTGCTGCTGCTGCTGCTGCTGCTGCTGCTGCTGCTGCTGCTAACGGTTGGTGAGGGTAGTCCTGCAACCGCCTGTCCAGCCGAGCACCCCTCCGCCGGACGCCGGTGCGGAGGGGCCCCGCCGCTGGGGCGCCTGGGCGCCATACGCCCCCTCTCGCATGCATGGCACCAGCGGCGAGTTACCGCTGGCAGCGTGGGCAGCGGCGCGTTCCGCGCGGCCCAGGCCCGCGCGCCATGTCCCACCCGCCCGCTCGGGGCGGAGGATCTCCACCCCCCCGAGGGCTGCTCTGGAGACGGCCAACCCAGACCCCCGACGTCGTGTTTTTTCCTACACCGTCAACCCCAAAAGGTTTGGACTCCTTCCCCAGGACTGGTTTTTCATCCCGAATCGGTTTTTGACGGTCCGGGGGCAAGGGAAGGGCCCCTGAGACCGAAAATAGCGAAAAACCTCTCGTCGTGAATTTCTCGCAGCGCGAGGGAGTCTAGGAAGCGACCGCAGTGGTCTGCGGCTCCCGCCACATCCGGGGCAAAGCCTTCGCACAGCATGCCT